CAGAAATCAACACTCTTTACACCAGGCAACATTTTCCAATCTTCTGTTGTCCAATTTTGGTGAGCCTGTGCTAATTGTAGCATCAATGTCCTGTTCTTAGGTGACAGAACTGGCACTTGATATGGTCTTCCGCTGCTGTTGCCCATCCGCCTTAAGGTTTGACGTGTTGTGCATTCAGAGATGTTCTTCTGCATACCTTGATTGTAACAAGTGATTATTTGAGTTACTGTTGACTTCTATCAGCTGGAACCAGTCTGGACATTCTCCTCTGACAACAAGGCATTTGTGGCAACATAATTGACGCTCACTGCATATTTTTCTGTTTTTCGGACCATTCTCTGTAAATCCTAGAAAATCCCAATTGGTTGAGGCTTAAAATCCCAGTAGATCAGCAGGTTATAAAATATTTAGAACAGCCATGTTTTTCCCAACAGCCATGTTTTAAGTCACTTAAATTACTTTTTGTCCCCATTCTGATGCTCTGTTTTAACTGCAGCAGATCGTCTTAACATTTTCTACATGCCTAAATGCATTGAGTTGCTGCCATGTAATTAGCCGATTAGAAATTTTCGTTAATGAGCAGTTGGACAAATGTACCTAATAATGTGGCCAGTGAGTGTATACAGTTTAAGTCAGAATTGTTAGCCCCCCTAAATTATTAGCCCCCCCTGTTTATTTTTTTCCCCATTTTCTGATTAACGGAGAGAATATGCTTTCAACACATTTCTAAACATAATAGTTTCTAATAACTGATTTATTTTATCTTTGCCATGATGACAGTGCATAATATTTTACTAGATATATTTCAAGACCCTTCTATACAGCTTAAAGTGATATTTAAAGGCTTACCTAGATTAATTAGGTTAACTAGGCAGGTTAGGGCAATTAGGTAAGTTATTGTATAACGTTGTTTAGTTCTGTAGACTATTGATCAAATATATAGCTTAATGGGGCTAATAATTTTGACGTTAAAATTGTTTTAAAAAAATTAAAAACTGCTTTTAATCTAGCCAAATTAAAACAAGACTCCAGAAATAAATATTTTCCTTGCACTGTCAAACATTATTTGGGAAATATTAAAAAAAGAAAATAAATTCAAATGGGGGCTAATAATTCTGACTTCAACTGTATATTTATGAATATATGGTCTTTGTAACACTTTAAGGCACAATTCTTACTATTAACTAGTGGATTATCACATGTGTATTATCAAGATACTGGCTGTTTATTTGTACTTATTAAGGACATATTCTGCAAGAACCTAAAGTACCTAAACCTAACTACCTTAGTAAGTATTAATACGCAGCAAAGTAGGAGTTTTTTAAGCTAAAAACCATAGGTAATAGTTTTTTAATTGAAATAATTGTATCTCGAAATAAAGTGACAATTTTTCAAAGTTAAAAAAGTTCAAATGTCTTGTAATAACCCTCAAGAACACTCCATTGTTTTTCTGATGAGTATTTCAAAGAGTGCTTTATAAGGGGCTGTAAAGGCAAGCAAGTGAATGAATGATGACACAATATGCAGTATGAAGATCTTGTTTTTGTGCATTTTCTGGTGCGTTTCTCTTGATACCTAATGTTATCAGCTTAATATTTTGACAAACAACAACAACACCAAAATAGATATCAGGTGTAAATGTGTTCTACAGTTTAATAATAATGAGCACTGATTACAATTCAAACACACATGTGCAGTGATGTCATAGAAGTACATTAGTGTTGCATTTATATTGCTTATACTGCTGCATTGTTTATTAGCTTTTACAAGATACTTGCACTTTATTACATTATACTGTTGCTTCACTACTGTTCTTATTGTTGATATTGCTTATACTGTTTAGAATGTTTTATTATTAGCTGTTTATTACTCTTTGTTAAGCATCTTACAGACCTGCTAACCAAAGTCGCTGTTTGGTTGTACCGTGTGCATACAGTGACATTGAAGATTCACTCATTTGTGCCTCAGATCACTTCAATGACTGCATGCCAGTGGCCTAGCAACGACTCACAACACCTCAGTTACTGCATAACAACGCCAACTGTGACTCTTTGATTTTGAAAATGTAAAAATTTACTACATTTACTTATTTTTTGTAATAAATTAGAGATGCATATTATACAGCATGCCTATATTTGGAATACATTTACTCATGTCATAAACCTGTGTGTGAAAATAGGCTCAAATACAGCAATTTCATTAGCCACTTGTTGTTGAGTCTGATATACTGTTGTCAATTTGTGCATGTTGGCATGTTGAACCCTTTAGTTGCCTTTCATAAGACAAGCTGAAACAGTAAATCTAAAGCTGTACTCTTTTAGTATTGAATGTGTGAATTTTGAGTGACCCAAGATCACTGATAAGATGGGTCTCAGTCCACTTCCAAATTAAGTCTGGTGTGGTTTGACAAATATATAGACTGAAGAATGAATCGGAAACAGGATACAATACAAAAATCTTTTCATTGTTGGCTGCACGGTGGCGCAGTGAGTAGCATGTTCGTCTCACAGCAACAAGGTCGCTGGTTTCAGCCTTGGCTTGGTCATTTGGCGTTTCTGTGGGGAGTTTGCATGTTCTCCTAGTGTTCGTGTGGATTTTCTCTGGGTGCTCTGGTACAAGTCCAAAGACATGTAGTATAGGTAAATTAGGTAGGCTAAATTGTCTGTAGTGTTTGTGTGTGAATGAGTGTGTATGGATGTTTCCCAGTGATGGGTTGCAGCTGGAAAGGGCATCCACTGTGTAAAACATATGCTGGATAAGTTGGTGGTTCATTCCGCTGTGGCGACCCCAGATTAATAAAGGGACTAAGCCGAAAAGAAAATGAATGAAGGAATGAGTTGCAATGCCTATTTGTCGCACCCTCGGCTCGTTCCTGCAGCCCCAATCACCGCTCTCCCTCACCATCCACCAGAGCTGGACTGGGACAAAAAAAAAAACGGCCCTGGCATTTTGGGACACAGCGGCCCACAACATCAATCAAAATGCTCCCCATCTGTGCACGCCCTTGAATATGTTTACTAACTCCCATTCTATAAAAGCACAAAAGCCATATATAGAAAATAACGAGAGTTGAAAAATTAAAAAAATTTAATTTATTATTATAATTAAATCATAATCCACACTAGAAGTCCATCTTGTGTGTGCTGGTGTGTTTTGAAGGACCCTATAATAAATAATGAACTTAACAAAACCTGCCTGCTGATGCACTCAGTTAATGTTGATAATTAAAATAAAGATAAATAATAAAAGCAAGCCTAATTTTTTTTTTACTCAACAATGAAACATCAAACGTAGCTAAAAGATTTTACATTGTCAATCAAATTAACTTAAACAATTGAAAAATGTAACAAATATTTGTTTGGGCTTGAACTACAAAAAAAGTTGCTTAAGTTGCACACTAGTTTGAACATGTATAAATATCATTATAACCATGTTGTATAAATATTATTGTCACTATAAGCCTACATCATGCTGACAATCAAAAACAAAATGTCATGATATCTCATGCGATTGTCTTCTGACCGAGTGCATTTTAAAATACATGAATGACACCCCTCATAGAGCTTGAGAAGCAGACATTCTTTATAATTTGTAAAACAAAGACTTGCAGGTTAAGGAAACAACACAGGAGGAAGTTTCCGCGGGCCATGGTGCAGATTAAAAGTAAAAAAAAAAAGTGTATTTATATAGACAGATAGGCAACTAGATGGAATAGGCAGGAATATATTGATCTGTGCTCCGCTGCATGCTGCAGAGTGCAGAAACGCAAAAGGCAAATGCCTGCTCGCTGCTTCTGCTCTCCCACGCGTGAGAAACAGATGTGACTCGACTATTTTGACAAATACAAACCTACGTTGCATGCTACACTGAGCCCAAAATGGAAGTTTGTGATTGGGTCAGCCCAATGTCAATAAAGACACAAAAGAAGATATTTGACTTTTTTTTTTACTCTGTATTTTAATGGCTACTCCAACTTTTTTTAACACTGGAAATAAGGCATGGCATGATAACCGCTATCAAGGTATACCACAGTTTGGAAAAGTCTTTTTCTGCTATACTGTTTCTATAGTTTATGTAAGACTTTTTTTTAAATATTTGTTTAAGACAGTAGTATCTCCAACAGAAATGATATCCAATGACACCATTTTAAATTGTAATAAAATCAGTGTTTTTGAAACTAATGAAGACAACAGAAGTCAATGATTCATTTGAATTATTTAGCCTGAAAATAATGGAAAATTTATTGTGTTCAAAGAGGAAAAAAGTGTTTGTTTTTTACCCAGACATTTATATATTATATTTATATATTTTAGAGCAGTGGTCACAATACCATCAAACCCTGATATTTTTATCCAAGATTATCATACCGTCAGAATCTTATACCGGCCCATGCTCACTGGAAATACCAGAATTATATAATTAGAATGACCATAGCAGTCATTTTGACTGTTCATGTGCCAAATGGATTTTTAGTCATATCTTATAGTATTTGCATTCGGTTCAGATTTTATAATTAATCTATGAATGTCTGTCATCATATTTTATTAATTATTTAACCTAAAAATACAATATTTTATGTAATATAGCCTGAACTTGTGTACTAGTTACTAGACTGGTCCTCTTTTGTATTTTGTAACTTTATCAAATGAATAATGTTAGTATAAAATATAAACACATTGAGGGAAAAGTCAAGGTACTATAGTTATATGGGTCTTATTTTAGGAAATTCGTTAAAATACGAAATTTTAAAAAAGTGAAAACGACTACCTCTATGGTTCTAATAAAATATCTAACTCATAAAGGTTTGTAAGCACTTTAGGGTAAGTAAATGGGGGAACAATTTTCATTTTTGGGTAAACTATTCCATTAAGATACTTGCACTCCAGAGATGTTTTGTTCATTGAACGTCGTACATGTTCATCATGGGGTCCTAAGTGTGTGCGAGGATTTAATGCATGTTAAAAAGGATTTTCACTCAACTTGTTGATTTGTTATTTCAGCGCCCCCTACGTTCTCGGACACGCCGCCGCAGTATGTGGAGGCAAGGGAGGGTGGAAGCATCACTCTGACCTGCACTGCCTTCGGGAACCCCAAACCGGTGGTGACCTGGCTGAGAGAGGGGGATCAGCTGACCAGCACCCGGAAATACACGGTAACACACACCTTTTTTTTCTTTTATGGCATGCTTTCATGTCTTCAAATCTAAAATGCACAACAAATTAACAAAATATACAATTAATTTGCATTATGCCTCTTTGGAATGGAGCTGAACAAATGCATAATCTGTAAATGCTGCATTTTGGGTCCTGACACGAGTTTAAGCATGTCTCATGTCGTCGTTCCTCAGTGATACATAGTAAACAAGAGTTTCTCATTTTCAAAATAGAGGTCCCACATACATGATAAGTTAAAAGCTTAAAAATAACTATGGGGTGAAAATGATCATTGTTGTCTCACTAGGAAACATTGTGCCTTATCAAACACAGCCTATTACTGTATGGTAATGATCCTAGAGCTATATAAGTATGTGTTTTCCTTATAACGTGGCTGCTCAGTACAGGGAGTACCCTATGAGTCACGTACCAGTGTGCTTTGTGTTCTGATTGGCCTTTTGTCCACCGCGACATTTACCTATAGTGCATGTCTTTAGATTGTGGGGGAAACTGGAGCACTAGCCGAAGCTCCAAAAAGCGACATTCTTGCTGTGAGGCAACAGCGTTACCCTCTGCACCACCTACATATTATATTATATTATATTATATTATATTATATTATATTATATTATATTATATTATATTATATTATATTATATTATATTATATTATATTATATTATATCAGAAATTAATCTTATAACAATATATGTTTTTACCGCATAATACATCAAACCATTGATTTGGGAATAAAACCTTCTTTTCTCACAGTTCATTTTGGTTCATCTCTGCCTTGATAAAGCAGAAAAATTGACAATATACATTTGTCTTCAAATATAGGCCACTGTGAATTGTAGTCTAGCCGTGAATTTGATCCGCAGTGAATTGTACTGTCTCATTTTCCTTTTGGAAATGGAAGCATGAATCATCACAGGCTATTTGTAAGAGGAGGCTCAGTCAGTCGGGGCTCTGACAGCTGAAGAGCACAGGCCTGCAGCGGGACGCCACAAAAACTGACAAGCCTGTTTCCACCTTACACTGCATGCGGGGAATAAGGAGGAGGAGGAGGCGCATGATTTGACAGAACCGGCAGTCAGTCTGGCTCCAGTAGGCATCAGAGGAGCTTTCCCTGAGGAAACAGACAAATAAAAGACAAGAAAGACGCTGCGGTTTTACATCTGAACATTCGCTTTCTTCTGCTGTAGACGAGGCGCTCTGCACCAGCTTTGTTGGTTTTGCATTGGTCCTATTCAGCATTTGTCAGAGTGTTGATGGTCGCGGCCGGTGTTTATAGTGACTTGTTTGAGTGTCATTTGCCGTATTCTGCCTGCCACTGTTACTCACTGGCGATTGATGAACATAAAGTGATGGTTGGCTGCTGCTTTTCCCTAGTAAATGCTCTTAGCAAGGTTATTCTTCAACCCCGTGGCCTCTCTTCTCCTTCTTTACTTCACCATATTAGAGTGTATTCTTTTAAAGTCACATTCGTAGTGTCTTGCAAGCTGTTGGTCGTGAATTTTAACAGGACACCTTTTGTGTATGTGCTTCATAAGACAGAATTATTATATTGTTAGCATTTAGAAAAACTATCATAATAATATATATATATATCATATCACTACATATTTTACAGTGTATGTATATAATATGAAATAATTTGTTGTTATTAAATTAAAATGTCAAATAATTATCCAGTTAAAATTATTAACTATTTAAAAAAATAATATTTTAGAACTAAATACATTTAAGACTATTCTTTATAAAGGCCTCACACATATTATAATATAATATAATATAATATAATATAATATAATATAATATAATATAATATAATATAATATAATATAATATAATATAATATGATATAATATAATATAATATAATATAATATAATATAATTAAATATAATATAATAATGTGATGTAATGTAATGTAATATAATAATTTTACATTTATCAACATTCATTCATAAATGTTAGTACTATTTTAATCATAAATAGGGCCAGACAAAATCTGTGTCATAATCACATCATAATCACTGGTGGAAAGAGTACTGAAAAACCATACTCCAGTAAAAGTACCATTTTCTAAAAGAATGTAGTGCAAGTAGAGTAAATGTATCTGTTCTAAACACTATTCAAAGTGTGTGTAAAAAGTCGTTCCTCTAAAAGTACTCAAGGGTAGTAAGTAGTGAGTATTACCTTGTGATATTACACCATATAAATTACCCTGAAAAATAAACATTTAGATTGTATCAGTGGTATCTTCTTTTAAGGGTGTTTCTAATTGCAAGTTCAATTATTTGGCATTTATTTAAATCAGAAATGTGAGATTAATTTAATGTGATAACATTAGGAGTCTTTCAGGATTAAGGATTTTTCATTTTTGGTGGCAAGTAGCAAACTGGTTAGTACTACCAAGGTTGGCAATCCAAATACTGTACCTAAAAGCTGAGGACCGGGGGGTGGGGCTGTGGGGAGATTCTGGGATTTTTCCGGGAGACAGAACAAAACGGTATGGGTTTGAAATACGGGAGTGTTGGCAGGTATGTATTTCACAACATTGATCATAAACATTTTGTGAAAAATCAATGGAAAATTTCATGAGACAATTATTGCCCCCAACATTAAACATCGTAACATAGGGTCAGGGTCATGTTTATTTTAAAGAATCGTCAGGAAGGCAATGGTCAAAACAGGATTGAACTGGAGCATACAGGTTATCCAAAATCAGGGTGAGAATAACAGGCGAGAGGTCTGGGCTGGAAGCAAAACCACAAAAACAATAAATAAAACAAGGGTCAAAAAATACTGCAAAGCTAGACAAAAGTAACACTTTTGAAAACAAGAGTAGTCTGTAGTTTGTAGTCTAATGTATCAGTCTTTACAAGCTTCAGCTGTGTGTTTCTGTGCAATCAAGCATGATCTGGAACTGGTGTGTGAGTGCAGGGCAGATGGGATTTGTAGCTTGGATACGTGTCAGATCTGTAGTTCTCCAGCGATCTGCAAATGTTAGATTGCTGGTGATCATAAGTACTGAACAAGTTTTTATACTTTTTTAACCTGAACTCCTGAACAATTTTTTGATATTTTAATGATTAGACATTTGTATGATTAAAAATGCAATATATAATATAATATAATATAATTAAATATAATATAATAATGTGATGTAATGTAATGTAATATAATAATTTTACATTTATCAACATTCATTCATAAATGTTAGTACTATTTTAATCATAAATAGGGCCAGACAAAATCTGTGCACGGGCGAAGCAGGGGCACAGTAGGTAGTGCTGTCGCCTCACAGCATAAAGGTCGCTGGGCCGTTTGTTTGAACCTCGGCTCAGTTAGCATTTCTGTGAGGAGTTTGCATGTTCTCCCTGCATTTGAGTGGGTTTCCTCCGGGTGCTCCGGTTTCCCCCACAGTCCAAAGACATGCTGCAGGTGAATTGGGTAGGCTAAATTGTCCATAGTGTATGAGTGTATTAGGGTGACAGGCCCACATGACAGGCGGGCCAGAATGTGTAAAAAAGTCGATATCATATGGACAAGTCTAAATGAAGGACTTGTTCCAAAGAGCTGACCCCGCAACCATACAGGACTAAGGCCAAAGTAGAAGAAGAAGAGGGCCAGACAAAATCTGCAAACATTTTTTTGCTATTTCTGCTAAAAATTTTGTAAAAAATCTGCGGATTTATGCAAAATTATTTTGGGAGTATTGTAGCTAAAAAACAAATATTTAACACAAAAAATATTTGATTTTTAACTTATAAAATCCATGTAAATACACATATTTGGTAATGAAGGAAGTCTATTATATAATCCAGGAGACCAGGAGGAGGTGGTGGGGTGTCCAGGTGTCAGGGGTGAGGTGTCTGAATAACACAGCTAAGTAGCTGTACTATGCACCGGAATTCGGTCAGCCGCAGTGATCGGATACGGTACCAAAGTCTGTGAGCCGGGGGTGTTATAGATTGTACCAAAAAGATGAGGACCGGGTGTGGGGGGTGGGGGCTGTGTGGGGGTGAAATTACAGGAGTTTTTCTGGAGAAATAACAAAATGGGAGAATGGCGGTAGATGGATTTGAAATACGGGAGACTCCCAAAAGTTGGCAGGTATGCATATAATGTACTAAAAGACAGAAAATAAATCATATGAACATTTTAATGTGTCAATATTATTACTGGATTTAATTAAATAAAATAATAAATATAAATTTGCACACATTTACAAAAGTAAATCTGCGGAAGTTTGCGAATTTCTGCGTTCGCAGATTCTGTGTGGGCCTAGTCATAAATCAGTAAAAAGTTATATTTTAATATGAATATAAAAATATTTTCAGAAATAGTTCCCAAAAAAAAAATTTCTGCTTGTAAATCTTATATCCTTTAGAAATCACAAAATAAATTTAAATTAAACAGATTATATATTATCTGAAAATATTGCGTTTAATCTGACACTTAAGCCTAATGAGCAAAAACAATCCCAGTTGACTTTAGTGAATGCCAGCAGAAGCCTAAGCAATTCCTCCTCACATTTAAATTGCCCCATACGCTGTGATTAATCAGGATTCGCCTCAATTAGATTGTGTCAAATCTATATTTAATTATTTCTCCTGTGAGGAGGAAGTGCTACTTCTGCTTTAGCTTGTTGGCTCTTGCTTTTAAAAGTCCTTCCCAGCACTAACAAGCCCCCAGTCTCAGACATTTACTCAAAGCAAGAGTCATGACCTCACCTTTAAGAACAGTGCTGAAGATCCGCCATTCTTCTCCCTGCTTCCATGGATAAAAGTCAGAGAAATGGAGGAATGCGCTAGAGGAACACACACGCTGAAGAGCAGAGGCACAGATGTCTCGTCTCCCCCACTGCTATGTGTGTGTGTGTTTGTGTGTGTTTAAGTACAGCGCAGTGTTTGAGAGCGTTTATTACCTGCTCTCGTCTGCTTGTTGGTGTGATGGGTCTGAACAGCAGGGTGGATTGTGTCACCCGTCCAGAAGGATGTCAACACACCTCAGAATATTGTGTGGGAGGAACAATAAGGCCAGTCTCCCTTTGGCTACAGCTTTCGATGTGTGGGGGATAAGGGTGCTTTTACGCTGGGCTCGTTTTTTTGGAATCTGGTACAATTTCTGCCAACATCAAACTCTAGTGCAAGATTATATCCATAAATGTAAAAGAAGACAAACTAAAATCTGAAAAATTGTGGTTGTCAGATTCTTACCGTTAAAAATACATGCAGACATCTTGTAAAATAAGTCATTTTTAAAATGTGATATAATTTTTTTTAAGTAGAAATTTAATTGTTGTATATAATTAAAAAATGTAATTGTAATATTTGGCAAACACAATAACTTGTGTTTTGTGCTTGTTCTGCTTTTGCAGGTGAGTGACGGCAGTCTGACGGTACAGGCCATCACCCGGGAGGACCGAGGGGCCTACAGCTGCCGTGCCCACAGTGACCAGGGGGAGGCACTACATACCACCCGCCTACTGGTGCAAGGTACTGATGGCTGCTCTTAAAGCACTGCTTGATAAAGCTGATACACTTTAATGAATCTTTTGTTTTGTATCAGTGGTTGGGTGTGGTTGCTAAGGTCATCTTAGACATTGTTACATCATAATCACTGGTGGAAAGAGTACTGAAAAACCATACTCCAGTAAAAGTACCATTTTCTAAAAGAATGTAGTGCAAGTAGAATAAATGTATCTGTTCTAAACACTATTCAAAGTGTGTGTAAAAAGTCGTTCCTCTAAAAGTACTCAAGGGTAGTAAGTAGTGAGTATTACCTTGTGATATTACACCATATAAATTACCCTGAAAAATAAACATTTAGATTGTATCAGTGGTATCTTCTTTTAAGGTTTTTTCTAATTGCAAGTTCAATTATTTGGCATTTATTTAAATCAGAAATGTGAGATTAATTTAATGTGATAACATTAGGAGTCTTTCAGGATTAAGGATTTTTCATTTTTGGTGGCAAGTAGCAAACTGGTTAGTACTACCAAGGTTGGCAGTCCAAATACTGTACCTAAAAGCTGAGGACCGGGGGGGTGGGGCTGTGGGGAGATTCTGGGATTTTTCCGGGAGACAGAACAAAACGGTATGGGTTTGAAATACGGGAGTGTTGGCAGGTATGTATTTCACAACATTGATCATAAACATTTTGTGAAAAATCAATGGAAAATTTCATGAGACAATTATTGCCCCCAACAATAAACATCGTAACATAGGGTCAGGGTCATGTTTATTTTAAAGAATCGTCAGGAAGGCAATGGTCAAAACAGGATTGAACTGGAGCATACAGGTTATCCAAAATCAGTGTGAGAATAACAGGCGAGAGGTCTGGGCTGGAAGCAAAACCACAAAAACAATAAATAAAACAAGTGTCAAAAAATACTGCAAAGCTAGACAAAAGTATCACTTTAGAAAACAAGAGTAGTCTGTAGTTTGTAGTCTAATGTATCAGTCTTTACAAGCTTCAGCTGTGTGTTTCTGTGCAATCAAGCATGATCTGGAACTGGTGTGTGAGTGCAGGGCAGATGGGATTTGTAGCTTGGATACGTGTCAGATCTGTAGTTCTCCAGCGATCTGCAAATGTTAGATTGCTGGTGATCATAAGTACTGAACAAGTTTTTATACTTTTTTAACCTGAACTCCTGAACAATTTTTTGATATTTTAATGATTAGACATTTGTATGATTAAAAATGCATGCTGCATTTCAAAACAGTGATTCATCTTGAGAAACAAGTGGTTCAATTGATTTGAAGCATTGGAAAGCTTTGTGTAAACTAGCGCAAGGTGACAATCTGCAACACATATCCATTGATTTTCCATCTACATGAAATAGATACATACGGTACACAATAAACATAAGCATAAGAAGAAAACTTCCATTACCGATAGTTAGAGGTTAGGTCAGCCATTGTCTGTCACCATTTGTCCTTTTTCTTGTTACTGTGGTCATCGCACCTCATCAATACTGGGTGCAAATATCCAAAGCCTTCGGTGCTCCCTGGTTAATTAGACTCTTTCAGTAAATTGGCATATGGACACATCCGTGTTGTCAAAGTCTCGTCACTGTAAGCACATCTGCCGCAGTCAATACGCTCAGTCTGCTCCATCTGCATAGATCACTTCCTGTCACTCCAGTCCTAATGGAGCCTTCCTGGAGAAGCGATGGAGGTGATATACTGCAAGTTTACGGTCACTGCTCGTGTTTCAAACACACTCCTTCACCTTCAGAGTCCCTTCTTTATTTATTCACCTGTTGTTCTTATAAGCATCTTTTATATTATATTATATTATATTATATTATATTATATTATATTATATTATATTATATTATATTATATTATATTATATTATATTATATTATATTATATTATATTATATTATATTTACTTACAGAGCCGTTTATATCGAAGTTGATATTTAGCCGCATATCGGTGTTTCGTAACATCTAATTAGTTACGAGATGAGTTGTTAGCCCATCGCTTAACCCCTAACCTGGAAGACCAGGACATACACACATACACTATGGACAAATTAGCTTATCCAATTCACCTAGCGTATGTCTTTGGACTTGTGGGGGAAACCAGAGCAACAAGAATTTTGTACGTTTGAACCAGATACCGAAGTATGGGTTGTTTTTACATGACATCATTGATGGTGCGCAAAATTCAGTTTGAGTCGCTATCAGATCATCAAAATGTTTCTGTTTCATGTTGTTGTTTATAATAATGTCCTGAGCTATGAGAACAACCTCAGAGTGAGGTTTCTCCTGAGGTATCAACAACACAACTGTTGGCTTTAAATTAGTCAACTTCTTAATTTATTATGAATTATTATGTCATATTTTTTATATTTGTAGTATCTCACATGTCTGTTTATTTCATCTCATAACTATGTCTTATCTCATAGTTCTGGCTTTTTGAAACTTTACAAATAATACTCCACACTTTTGCCATATTATCTCATAATTGATATTATCTCATAATTGACTTATTTTGTCTTGCATATGTGAATTTTTGTCTCATAATTCTGATCTATTATCTCATAACCAAAGCTTAATTCCTCATAATTATGACATTTATTTAAAAATCTCATAAATGAGACTTAATGTCTAATGATGTTTATGTCTTATATTAAAGACTCCTTGTTATGGATAAAAAAAAAAAAAAAAACTATACCTCCCATCTAACGCGTATGTAATGTGAAGGGTCACTGACAACAGAGTTGAGGATCCGAATGCAGGTTTATAAGAAAGGTCAGGCAAACACTGGTCAAAATAGGGGCAAACAGTATACAGATAATCCAGAGTCGTGGTCAATAAATAGGCGAATGGTCAGTACAGACAGCAAGGAATCAAAAGGAGAGAACAAGGCAAAGGTTTAAAACATTGCTAGGCTAGACAAAGGAACCACATCATAATGTCACAAAAACAAGACACAGCACTGTTGCGTGTGTGTGTGTGTGTGTGTGTGTGTGTGCACTGAATAAATAGTCTTTGTAATCAGTCCGTAACACGCGTGTGTGTGTGTGTGGGTGCAATCAGTGGAATCCGGAACAGGTGTGTGTGAGCGGCAGGCACTTTTTTCCAGGGGTTTCAGTACAGCGTAACCGCTACTACGTCATTGGGTGGGCGTGGCCTATCTGTGAATTTGCATAGGTCACGGATCATGCGCAGATTGTGAAAACAGCCGTTGGATTCAGATACCTGTACGTATTCGCAGGGGTTTCATGTCAAATGCCTTTTATATGCAGTACAAAATAGCTGTCCTGATCGCAGGTGTTTCATGTGAAGTCAGTGTGTTATATTTAACAAATTAACTTAAAATACTCAGATTACATTAATACTGTTATAACTTAAGATACATGTCCCGATCCCAGGGCTTTTGTGTTAAATACTTTATATATCATATACAGTAACATCAGATACCGGTCCTGATGCCAGGGGTTTCATGTATGATCACTTTTATATACATTAACATCAGATACCTGACCTGATCTGAGGTGTTTCATGTATGATCACTTTTATATACAGTAACATCAGATACCTGTCCTGATCCCAGGTGTTTCATGTATGATCACTTTTATATACATTAACATCAGATACCTGTCCTGATCTCAGGTGTTTCATGTATGATCACTTTTATATACACTAACATCAGATACCTGTCCTGATCTCAAGTGCTTCATGTATGATCACTTTTACATACAGTAACATCAGATACCTGTCCTGATCCCAGGTGTTTCATGTATGATCACTTTTATATACATTAACATCAGATACCTGTCCTGATCTCAGGTGTTTCATGTATGATCACTTTTATATACACTAACATCAGATACCTGTCCTGATCTCAAGTGCTTCATGTATGATCACTTTTACATACAGTAACATCAGATACCTGTCCTGATCCCAGGTGTTTCATGTATGATCACTTTTATATACATTAACATCAGATACCTGTCCTGATCTCAGGTGTTTCATGTATGATCAGTTTTATATTATATACCAGGGGTCTCAAACTCAATTTACCTGGGGGCCGCAGGAGGCAAAGTCTGGGTGAGGCTGGGCCGCATAAGGGATTTCACAAAAAAAAGTCCTCAAATGTCATTATTAACAGTTTTAATTATTTCTTCTGAACATAAAGTGTCCTGAACATTAATAAAACATTGAGTGAAGATTATGAACAGTTCTTCTGAACATGGCATCTTTTGCCTACTCCTTGCTGCCAGAGACTTGACAGCGCTTCTTCTCACAAATCTGAACCACATTTGGCTTTAGAGCGGAAGCAGTTGAGACCCTCAGTATGGCTTGGGGGAACTCACTCAAAACTTCCATTCCCTCACCCACTGCAGAGTGGATGTACTGATCAGCTGTGTTGTCGCGCGCGTACTGATCAGCTGTGTTGTCGCATATTTAAAACTTCAAAAACACGGTTAATCTTACCACAACCATTATTATTTGGTTTAAAATGGAAGTACAAAAGCCCAGAGACATTAAAACGGAGTAAAACGGAGTAAAACGAGGTCAGCTGTTTTTGCTAATAAAATCTTTAAATATAACATTATAAAAACAAAAAAATGTATGATTATTTTTTCCTTCGTTATCCACCGCGGTATGTTCTTTATCCATAATAATCCTGTTTGAAATGACCGCGCTAAAAAAGAACCTGTACTGCGCATGATCGGTGACCTCTCAGTATTGTTTTTTTTTTTTAAGGGGGCGTTTAACAAACACTGACCGAGCCACGCCCATTTTACGTCGTGGTATTGAAACCCCTGGAATTTATTGCATGCCGTGTGTGAGCAATGAATGACTGGATCTGTAGTTCATATAATGGCGGATTTGTAGCTTTATGGCGATCAATGATTAGATCGCTGGTGATTGTGACAGTGTAAAACAGCGAATGTGTAAAAAAGTGAATGGAAAACATCGAGCTGAGGTTTACATCTGAATGTGCACTGTTTAAAAATACTGATTCTCAATAAA